CTACTCCACACGTCTCACACTTTGCACAATATACACCCGGTTTTTCGTTATTTGGTATTGTGTCTTTTGTGGATTTTAATAGCTGCTTTATTTTGTTGGTAGAACGGGCAACGGGCGAAATGTTTATATCATCGAAGCATTTTGATAATTTGTTATGTGATGGCCCATGGAAATGCATAGAAATGCGTTTTTTCTCCACATTTATTGGCGTTAGGCTTGTAACATTTAACATGGTTTTTCTCTTTCTATGATTTTTGATGAGCCCGTCAATAACTTGTGATTTGTAACCGTTCTTTTTTGCTATGTCGTATATTCTTAGCTTCTCTTTTTCAAAATTGTCTTCGTTTAGCGGAACGTTACATAATCTATAACACATTGAGTTGAATGCTGCCACTTTGTGCGTTGTGTGATGGTGTGATTCAATTGTGATAAATCGTTCGGTACTAGTCGGTTTTCGGTATATGTCAAAAATAATGTCTCCGTTGTTATTCCGTTCAAGCATCAAATCCAAGAAAGGTAGGCGGCTGTTTTGTTCGCGTTCAACCGTGAATTTAATGTGTGGGGAAACATTATTGATGACGTCCAGAATTTGGTCAATTTTATCCTCTTGTACTATTGCAACTACGTCGTCGACGTATCTTATCCATACTTTCGGGAACAAGTCAAATGTCGTCAACCTTTCTTCCAGATGATTCATATACAAGTTGCATAAAAATGGTGACAAACAGTTGCCCATGGCCATTCCGTTCGTTTGCCTATAGTATTTTGATCTGAATTGGAAAAATGTGTGTTCCACACACACTTTTGTCAGTTCGTACAGGGCGTCTGCTTCGATATGATCTAGGGATTGTCTATCCAGCCAATTTTGTAGACATACCAACGCTCCCTCAACCGGTACACTGGTGAAATATGACGATATATCAAATGAAATTAATACTTCATTGCGCTGCAATTTAACATCTTTCAACTTTTCAGTTAATTCGATGGAATTTTTAATTGAAAAATTGTCCATTTGTTTCAACTGTGCGAAACGGGTGCGTAAGAATTTCGATAGTTTATATGAATGCGCTAATGTATTGTCAACAATCGGTCTGTATTTGTTGCCTTCTTTGTGGATTTTTGGCAAACCGTAAATTCGCGGGACTTTTGAATAGCTCGGAATCATGTTTCTTCTCCATCTTTCACCTCCAAATATTTCGCAATGTTTGGTTATCATTTCAGAGCACGCTTTTGAAATTTTGTGTGACGGATTCTTCACTTCAACATACGGGCCGTCGGCAATCATTTTATGTATCGAGTCGTCATAATCACCACGATCAACAACCACTACGCCGTTTCCCTTATCAGCCTTCGTTACGTAAACTTCTTTTTTATTTAGTGATTTGATGGTTTCGTACATTTTGGACGCGTTGTTCGGTGAGTTGTATTGTCTCGTGGAAAAAACTTTTTTCACCTTCGCACGCACTTCGTCCGCTAAACCTTTTTCTGAATATTTCAGCCCGGCCTCCGTATCGACAACAATGTCTTTCACTGGTGTTTGTTTATTGGGTAGTGCGAAATTCAAGCCCTTGTTTAAGAGGCTGATTTCGTCTTCGTTAAGTTCAATCGAAGATTTGTTGATAAGGAAATTTGGAATGAATTCGCTTTTTGGACAGTCGACTGCTTGCTTCAGCTTAGTGAGTTTTTTACGTTTTTGTGTAAACCAAAACCGAAGATTTTCGCCATATGCTTCTCGCACAGTTCCCATGAAAACATCAAGTTGTAGTGGTGTTGATCTACTTGCAATTTTTTGGTATAACTGATACGATTTGGCGTCAGCTGTTGCCAGTTCCGCATAACTGCTTCGAAGCTCATTCACTAACCAACAGCGTCTCGCTTTATGGATGGCTTTCAAGCCTGATTGGCTTTTTGTATTACATTTTATGTGGGTGAATTTCGGTAAAACACCTTTTTGCTTGCACCTCTTTAGAAAATGTATGCGCGATTTCATGCGGCATGTGTTCATTTTCAAGAGTTTAAATTCTTCACACTCAGATAGGATTGAATCCATTTTAAATAAAATAATTTTACTTTTTGAGGACTATAAGACATAAACGAATAGGAAT